AAGTGTGACAAGAAAACAAAGATGCCCGAAATAGAACGTTATAATATGAATCGAAATCATTTTTTTTAGATTGCTAATAAAGTTATAAAAGGTCTTTCCTCACTTTAAAAAGTTAGATACTATTTTGGGGATTTTTCTTGTACATTTTAAAACTCCCGCTCATTTAGTGCATCAAAGACCTTAATTGAGCGGGAGCCGAGCGTAACGCTAAGTGTGACAAGAAAAACAAAGATGCCCGAAATAGAACGTTATAATATGAATCGAAATCATTTTTTTTAGATTGCTAATAAAGTTATAAAAGGTCTCTTCTCACTTAGATACTATTTTGGGGATTTTTCTTGTACATTTTAAAACTCCCGCTCATTTAGTGCATCAAAGACCTTAATTGAGAGAGAGCCGAGCGAAACGCTAAGTGTGACAAGAAAACAAAGCTGCTCGAAATAGAACGTTGTAATATGAATCGACCCCTTTTTTGGATTGCTAATAAGAGTGTCTCAATGGGGTTAACCGTGAGCCATGAAACGGCTGAAAAATTAGCCGTCAAAATGAGAAGAAAAATTAGCCGTGGAGCGTGAAAAAGCCAAATTTTTAGCCATAAGCTTCGAATACACTATCTTCAGTATACAACGTTTCCTGACTTATCTGTATACGCTGCAAGGAACTGGAAGCATCACGTGGCGATCAACCATTACGTTGCCTATGAATACACAACAGGCGGCGATTCCCAGCGGCTAAGGAACCTATTGTGATGGTTGATCACGCGGGGCGCCCGAGCTGTTTCCCTGCCTACAGTTATAAACATATCCATCTGAAAGATTCGGAAAAGGGCTTTTTTATCTACGACGTCATGGAATGGTCCTTAGAGCTTTAATTTAGCTGTAATCAAAGACATCTTTCTGAATCTGTTGACTCTAGAACGTTTTCTTCGATAAAATGTTTTTATTATCAAAACTGTATTTTTACATCCATGTTTTAAAATTACTATCATTCGCCTGATTATTTTTGCAATAAAACCGAAAGCTTGCTAAGTTTTCCTTGATTTCTTTATCAATTTTACCTGATTACCACAATCTCAATTTGCTAACATCAGGGACCGCGGAGCGGTAATTTGTTTGGGGAGGCTATCGGCTGCAAAGGTACTAGGTGGAATCCGGGGGAATTACACACTGGAAAATTTTGAAATCTTAACTCTCGGAAATGTCATTTCCAGCGTTTTGAAGCATTATCCTAGACATATTTCTGACCGCTAAAACCGCACACACGGTCACGCGATATTCAAAAAAGTCCCAAAGACTTTGGAGGCTCTGTGCTTCTCTATTTAAGAAAATTCAAAATGGCGGAAAAATTATTGGGGGGGGGCTATAGCCCCCCAGCCCCCCCTGCTCCGCGGTCCCTGAACATTCACCATATTTATATTCAATAATGTGTAAACTTTTATATCATCAAGAAAGAAAATGTGCATTGAAAGTTCTA